CCCAAGCCCAGCTTTGGGAACCAAAGTGCAGTGGTTCCCAAACTTTTCAGCTTTTGACCCACAAAATAACAGTAGCAGAGACCTGTGCCCCCAACTATTTTTGGATGATAAACGTTTGTATCAGGCCAACTAAACATGGGCATAGTAACAGTATTTTTATACTACATTTATCCATTTTAAATACACTAACCTCACTCCTTTGTAACAACTAAAACAAAAATGTAATTAATTCAGAAAATCTTTTCAGGACCCCACCTTGATGTTTCAGGACCCCACTTTGGGTCCCGACTCCAACTTTTGGGAAACACTGGTTTACACAACTTGTCAAGTCCAGAAATCTATGGACATTTTGGACACAATTAGTCCTTGCAGTACTCTTCCCTTTACCCTTAGTAAGTTTTACAATAAAAACAGCACAATGTTTAAAATGTATTTACTAAGACTGTAGTAGCAGAAGGGTAGCTAATAGCTAAAAGTTGCATAAAAAACAAAAAGGAGCAAATCATCAAAAATATCAGAGAAGAATAGCATGTTTTTTAAGGAATTGAAGAGATATGAATCTATTTCGATGGGTTTTTTTTGTAAACAATTTGATATGTATGAAAGTTACGGCAGCAGTCATAGCACCCATCTCCTCAACAAGATGAACATTTTGATATAGCAATTGTTAAAATAGCAACAAAGAAAATGCAGAACTAGGTAGATTGCAAAGGTCTTACAGGTAAATAAACAAGAGGCAAACAATTAGATTTGAATGAAATATACAGCAGAACAAAATTACTAAGCCTTTTTTATATAATTACAAAAAGTAAACAGATTGTTTTAGTGTTATTTTTAATCACTATAAGGAGAAGAAATCAGACTTCCTCTTGTTTGTCCCACTTACCATCAAAGTACTGTCCAAGTGGACAGTTCACCTGTGGACACTGTCCATGCAGAGGAGGATTCCCACTCTGACAAAGCTCACAGTCTGTCGAATGAGGTCCATGACAGCTCTGACAGGAGAYGTGACAAGGCTGACAGCGCCACCCACTGGACTCACTGAAGGTGTGCAGCGGACACTGTTTCACACACTCCCCTYCTGACCACAGCAGAGACACTGAGTTAGAATAAAAACACACACTACYTGAGAAACTAAAGGAAAGTACAGCTGTAAACGTGTGTTTTATGTTTGGTCAAACAATTTGAAAACAGCTCTTAAAGTTTTTTTTTGGGCTGTTTTAGCTGTTCAGAAATGATTTAGACTACATGAAWACACAACAAAACTCAAACTGAAACTCATATTATGACAGATTTTCTTAGATAACGAAGGTCCAGCACTAAATGTTGGCTGCTGCCTTTTACAGCAGACTTTCAGGCCAAAATGACGTTACGATGAGGAATCGATCTGTTAGGGTCCAGAATATGTGTTGAGGATAATTTTCAGCTACTTACACATCAAATTTTAGCTCAGTATTGGTAATTTTTACTAAAATGTATTCTGTTTTAAGGTTGGCTGTAGCAGCCGTCTCCAAAAGTTGATCAGTTGTTGATGCCCATCCAATGATTACTTCCCAAGAATCTCAGTTCAGTTTGTCCGGTGGTTTATGAGATATTTAGCTAAAAGACAAACTGAGTTGATACCAGCTTTTAGACAAATATGTTGTGCACTGTGGAGTGTTATGAGTGTTTGTTGGGAATTAGTCTCAGCAGCACATTTAATTTTAGGTTCATATTWGTAAAACTGACAGAGTTTTAGCAATTTTCTGATTAGTATGTTTAGGTGGATGTGGTGGCCATCTTGAATTCCAGAAGTTAATAAGGTGTAGAGAACATTTAATATGTTCAGGTTCATTAAAAAAATTAGTGGTTCATGAGCAATTTTGCTAACAGTTAAGACAAACACATAATCTAAAGCATTACCACAGCTTTGGTAGAGGGCTATAACTCCATATATATACTGTACATATATTAATCTAAAAGTTTATTCTCATGTGCCTGTAGAGAATCAATCATAATTCCTTATTTGTGTAAACCACACATTTGCATATCTTTTCCTACAAACCTGCTGACACACATCTTATTTGCAAACCAAATGAAGACTCTGGGGGCAATTGTTTGTTTTTAAGCAAGGATAAATACTTGCAAACTCACTGATGTGAAAGTATGCCAAAGAAGTTCTCTGTGTACAATGTGGGACAAATAAGAAAAAAAAAATATTGCCATCTTTTCATGTATTGTAAGTGAAGAAAACATGAAGAAGTGATAATTATTCTGGTACCGTGCAGGAAGTAACCAGACTGGCAGGCGATGCAGAGTGTGTTGCTCCTGCAGTCCTCACATGGAGCTGTACAGGACAGACACACTCCACTGTTGCGGTCCTCATAGGTGCTCTGAGGGCAATGTCTGCGGCACCGCTGTCTGAAACTGACAGAAAAAAACAATCTTAATATTCATTTAAATGCTGAAGGAAGCAAAGTTGGTACAATAAGCCGGGAACACTAATAAAATGTCAAAGCAGCTGTGGTTTGTTGGTGTATTTAAGGCCCTGAGAAACTACAGATATGCTGCTTCTGTCCACATGAGATGAGACAAACTGAACAGGAGCTCAACATGTCAGCCCACAGCACACCTGCAGCTGCATTGTTGACTTCAATACAGTTTCTTATTAAAAGGTGTATTCGTTCCAACAACAATAGGGATGGCAAACAGAGAGGAAAGTGGAAGGGAGGCTGCCTTTTGCCAGTAGTTTCACCCTCATCTAAAGGCTAAACGTTCATTTCTGAATTTCATGACTTCTTAAAGGGGAGGGGTGGGGCATTTTTATAAAAAAATAAACTTTGTTGAGCTGTAAATCATGTTACAATGTCATACCCTCACCAAAAACATACCCAGAGTGTTGCTTTGACTCATTCATGAATGTTTAAGAAATCCTTGAATCTCATTTCGTAGCCACGTTGAACTGCTTAAGCTCATTCTGGTACAAAGCACCGCCTATTGGTACATAGCTCCTCCCTAGAGCTCAGTCTGCAGCTGAGATCCCACCCCACAGAGCACCCCTCCCCCAAAGCATTGTTATGACATGCTGTAGTGGGGGTGTCTGAAATGGTAGGAGGTTTTTAAAAGAGACAGAGGCCAATTTCAAGTCATTTAGATAGGCAATGATGCAGTCAAATGTATTTTTGATATATTCTGCATTTTCATAACTGAAGGTAACAAACTTGATTGGAAAATACATCATTCACCCTTGAAGCTAATTTTAGCTTTTCTTTAGCTATTTTCAGCTTCTAGCTAAGCTTTTATACTTTTTAGAAGCTTTTAGCTACATTCAGCTTTTACCCAGTCTTTAATCCTTTTTTTTGTTTTGTTTTGTTTTGTTTTTACCATTTTTAACTAATGTTTTTCCATTTTTGGCTTATTTTAGCTTCTTTCTTATTTATCTTATTTTTCTTACTTCTTATTTTAGCTTTTTTTTCCTGCCCTTATTAAAAAATAGTATTTTTTAGAGTGCTGGTTATCCCTTTTTTTTTTTTTTTTAGCTTTTAGCAAATTTCACTCGAGTCATTCAGTCTCAGTCATGTTACATTCTTCAAAAAAATAAAAATAAAAAACACACCTCACTTTCTCTAATTTGATTTCTGTCAGTAACTTGTTCTATCWCTGACCGGCCTGGTTTAAGAACATGCCTCAACAAAGAAAAGTATTATTTGTTGACTGCTGTGATTCGGCTGTGGCTGGATCAGGCTTCAGTTGGTCCCAGTTTTTTTCTTTTGATGTCTGGACTTGCCTTTAAAGCTACAACCCGTCACCAGTTTCAGACATATTTATTATGWGGAATGGCTTTTTCTCTGTTCATTTAAGGAAATATTTTTCAGTTGTATCCATCCAGTAAAGTCAAGGCTCTGTTTTAGGCCCTATCTTTTTCTTGTCACGCTTCCTTTAGAGTCCATTTTCAGGAAGCACAACATCACTTTTCACTGATTTGCTGAAGATATTTAAATTTAATGATTAAATGAAGYTCCTATTGATCACTGATGTACTTGTTATATTTGACACTTCATACAGTAATTGGGTCACTTGTAATTTAAAATGTATTGTAGGCATAAATGTCATCTTCTTAAGGAACTTAAGACTTGTGAATTTGTTTATTTATKAAAACCTAACTTGTGAATTTTGAAAAAATTGTCAATTTCTCCAATTAAGCACTTGTTTTYAAATGCCTAAATGGACAGATACTCGGTAATTCTTTGGTTCCTCAGAACAGTAACCTGTGGGGCAGATAGTGAGAAATAGGGTTCCTTAAAAAAATAACTTATTTTGGTCAAAAAGCCTTTTGTCTTTAAGGGATTAATGAGTGGAATTCCCTAACTACAGATTTGAAAGTGATTTCTGACTGAAACCATATCAAGATTGAAGCATTTTATAAAGGAGAACCAGTTTTGTAATCATTAAATCACTGACTGACTAAATGTTATAGTATTGATAATACTTGAAACTTGTCTCATTACAAATAATAAATGAAACAAAATGTTGAGTTCTGGATTTAACTGAATTAAAAAAAAACATGATCACAAGTTTGAATGAAATAAAAATATATAAAAGCTCCTCATTAGAAGCTCTTCAAAATGAAATGATCTATCAGGCCATCACACTGTGGCCTGTTCTGCCCTCCTCTCTGAGCAAATATGAGCTCTGACACTTCCGTCTGCATTTCTAACTGTGTTGCCTTGGATCTACYTCGAAGACATGGTAGTTGTTTGAGGGATAACAGCTGGAGGCGTCATACTGCATCCATCAGCTCACTTACAATCGCTGCTGATGGAGAGCAGGATCTGTCTCAAGCTGGGAGAACGTCCTCTTCTTAAGAATCTGCAGGATGTTTGAGCAACCCTCTGTGCAAATATGAGACTATCCATTCCAGGGGCACACATTTGCATTTTTTTCCCCTGCAACTTAAGGTTTTCTTTAAGGGCATAAATGTATCTGAAACACAGAAAACAATGAAGCAAATAGTGTCTAAAATTGAATAAATGGGAGGGTTTGAACTGCGTTGAGAATGAAACAAGGCAATTTTTCCAATTTCGCTGCCCTTACATGGCACCTGCAGGAGAACGATAAATGCCAACAAATACCAAACATCTATCATGCTGTGAAWTTTCTTTTGTTCCGTGCAAGAAGAACACGAGTCTTAGGGATTCCCAGTGGTGCCAAAACTGTCAGTCTTTCATATCTTTAACATTTTCATCTCTGAATGAAGGGCCTGAAAAGGTGGAATTTGCTGGCAAAAAGGATCAGAACTGTCTGAGTCCATCTCAGAAAGAATCATTTTACAGCTGCCTCATGTTATAGTAGCTTACAGTATTTAATGTGTGTGCTGCACAGGGTGAACAAACTGATTTATTTGTTATAGAAATTATCTGCTCACCTAAGCTAACACCCAGGAAGGTTGAGCATTTCTTTGAACTTCAGTGTGAATGGGTAGATTTGGCTTCAGTGTTTCTCAAACAGAATCGTACATCTGCTAACTCAGCTGGGCGGTCTCTCTCTCTCTCTCTCGTTTTTTAGTTTCTTTGTGTTCCACTCTTCATATCATGCTCTGTTAGGTCTCTCCTGAGCTCAAACCCAGGCTCAGGTAACAGCAGAAAATGGTTGGTAACCTGATAAACACATAACCAGGAGGCCCAGACTCAAGGGAGCAGTCCACAATTGGTGTTCTGTTCTCGCTCTACACCCAGTTTTACTCTTGAGTTTACTTGATGTTGACAAAAATCCGGGAGGCTTTGATTTGTTTTTAGCTCTTAAAATGTAAAAAAAAAAAAAATGAGTTAATAAATTCTACTAAACCATGTAGGGCTGGGTTATTCAAGTGGCAGCCTGTGGGCCACATTCGGCCTGTGGGTGACTACAATCC